CAGGACATAGAAGACAAAAAGATAATGGAAAAAATCAATGAAACAAAAAGCTGGTTCTTCGAAAGGGTAAACAAGATTGATGGTCTCCTAGCTAGACTGACCAAGAAAAAACGAGAAAAAAACCAAATAAGCATAATCAGAAACACAAAAGATGAAGTCACATCTGACCCTGAAGAAATACAAAAGATCATTAGAGACTACTACGTACACTTGTATGGAAACAAACTTGAAAACCAGAAGGAAATGGAAGACTTTCTGACATCACACAACCTACCTAGGTTGGAACAAGAAGAAATTGAGACCCTAAATAAATCAATAACAATCAAGGAAATCGACCACGTAATAAGAAAGCTTCCTACAAAAAAAAGCCCTGGTCCAGATGGCTTTCCAGCAGAATTCTACAAGACATTTAAGGAGGAGCTGATACCAATCCTACTGAAGGTATTCCAGGCGATTGAAAAAGATGGAACTCTCCCCAAATCATTTTACGAAGCCAACATCACATTGATACCCAAGCCAGGTAAAGATCCAACAAAGAAAGAGAACTACAGGCCAATATCTTTGATGAACATAGATGCTAAAATTCTCAACAAGATCCTATCAAACCGGATTCAGCAATACATCTCAAAAATCATCCATCATGACCAAGTAGGCTTCATTCCTGGCATGCAAGGCTGGTTCAATATTCGTAAAACCATAAATACATCAACAGATGTCAAAACAAAAACCACATGATCATATCACTAGATGCAGAAAAAGCTTTTGATAAAATCCAGCACCCCTTCTTGATAAAAACCCTTGAACATCTAGGCATACGGGGAACATACCTCAAAATAGTAAAAGCCATCTACGAGAAACCCACAGCCAGCATACTCCTAAATGGACAAAAATTGGAACCAATTCCCCTGAAAACTGGAACTAGACAAGGATGCCCACTCTCTCCCCTCCTGTTCAACATAGTATTGGAAGTCCTGGCTAAAGCAATCAGAGAAGAGGAGGCAATCAGACGTATTCAAATAGGAAAAGAGGAAGTCAAGTTATCTCTCTATGCAGATGATATGATGGTGTACCTTGAAAACCCAAGAGAATATGTCAAAGGTCTCCTTACATTGATAAAAGCCTTTGGCAAAGTCTCAGGATACAAAATAAATGTACAAAAGACAATCACATTTCTCTACACCAATAATAAACAAACAGAAGCCCAAATAAAAAACACAGTTCCATTCACAATAGCCACAAAAAAAATGAAATACCTTGGCATCTTCCTAACCAGAGACGTGAAAGACCTTTACAATGAAAATTACAAAACACTTCTCAAAGAAATCAAAGCCGACATGAACAAGTGGAAAAATATCCCATGCTCATGGATCAGAAGAATCAACATTGTGAAGATGTCCATCTTACCTAAGGCAATCTACAAATTCAATGCAATACCCATTAAATTACCAACAACATTCTTCTCAGACCTAGAAAAAACAACACAGGAATTCATATGGAAACACAAACATCCAAGAATAGCCAGAACAATCCTCAGCAAAAAAAAATAAAGCAGGTGGTATCACAATACCAGATTTCAAACTTTACTATAAAGCTACAATCATCAAAACAGCTTGGTATTGGTACAGGAACAGGCATATTGATCAATGGAACAGAATTGAGATTCCAGAAGCAAAACCTCAATTTCTCAACCAACTCATCTTCGACAAAGCCCCCACCACCTACCAATGGGGAGAGGAGAACCTATTCAGTAAATGGTGCTGGGAAAATTGGCTGACCACATGCAGAAGATTGAAACAGGACCCCTATCTATCCCCATGCACAAAGGTTAACTCCAAATGGATCAGAGACCTAAATGTAAAACCTCAAACTGTAAGAACCTTAGAAAAGGAAGGAAATACTCTCATGGAAATCGGAACTGGCATCCAATTCCTGTACAAAACCCGAAACCCACAGGACTTAAGAAAGAAGATAGACAAATGGGACCTTATTAAACTGACAAGCTTCTGCAAAGCCAAAGAAACCATCAAGAGAGCAGGGAGACAGCCTACAGACTGGGAAAAAGTCTTTGCCAACTCTAGGTCTGACAAAGGCTTAACATCCTGGATCTACAAGGAACTGAAGCGTACTGAAAAGAAGAAAACAAACAACCCCATTATAATATGGGCAAAAGACATGAACAGACACTTCACAAAAGAAGACATTCGAGCAGCCAACAAACACATGAAGAAATGCTCAACCTCACTAATCATCAGGGAGATGCAAATCAAAACCACACTGAGATACCACCTAACTCCAGTCAGAATGGCAATTATCAATAACTCAAAAAATAACAGCTGCTGGAGAGGGTGTGGTGAAAAGGGAACACTTCTACACTGTTGGTGGGAGTGTAAACTAGTGCAAGCTCTGTGGAAAGCAGTGTGGCGATTCCTAAAAGCTCTAAAAATTGACCTTCCATATGACCCTGCAATCCCCCTACTGGGAATATACCCTGAAGAACACAAATCACTCTATAAAAAAGATACCTGCACACGTATGTTTATCGCAGCGTTGTTCACAATAGCAAGAACCTGGAAACAACCATGCTGCCCATCAAAAGAGGACTGGATTAAAAAAATGTGGTACATATACACGATGGAATACTACGCAGCCATAAAAAAGAACAAAATCATGAATTTCGCTGCAACCTGGATGGAACTAGAGTCTATAATACTGAGTGACCTCTCACAAAAACAAAAATCCGAATATCACATGTTCTCACTCATATAATGGACCTTGAACATCCAATGCAATACTATGAGAAAATGACGGATGGTACTGGGAAACTATGGGGGGGAGGGGGATGGGATTAACAGTAGCAAATATCTGTTGGGGGATGGGAAAACACTTCTTATCTACAGGGTGCCTGAATGAAACGTCATTGTACACCTAACCCTTAACTGTACCCCACAAAACCATAATAAAAAATACTGATTAATGGAAAAAAAAAACAAAAAAAAAACATTAGCCGGGCATTGTGGTGTGCGCCTATAGTTCCAGCTACTTGGAAGGCTGAAGCACCCGAGCCCAGCAGGTGGCCGTGAGTGTGCTACTGCACTCCAGTTTGGGCGACAGAGTGAGACTCAAACTCAAACTCAAAAAAAAAAAAAAATGCTAAGTGAGAGAAGCCAGAAACAGAAGGCCACGTATTGTCCCTTTTATATGACACACCTAGAATAGGCAAATCCTATAAACCAAAAGCTGATTAGTGGTTACCAGGGAATAAGAGAGGAAACAGAAAGTGATTACTAAATGGGTAAGAGGTATTCTTTAAAGTTTTGAAACTAGAAAGAGGTAGTGGTTGGACAACATTGTGAATATACTAAGTAACATTAAATTTTACACTTTAAAATGGTTAATTGTATGTTATGTTAATTTCACCTTAATTAAAAAAAAATTCTCCTTAAGATCTCTTCAGTTTAACAAAAATAATCCAATTGATTTTTGTAAGTAAACAAAAGTTTCAGGTGGGACAGAATTAGAATGAGTTTCTTATGATGAAAATCTAAAATTTCCAGAATTAAATTCATAAACAAAGCCATCAGATCAAAACATTACTATACCATTTAACAATGGTATCTAACATAACTTTACCTCTGCTTAGTAGGGCTAAATGCAGAAAAACCAAGATACATTCATTGGATAGTGACAGTGTTTTGGAATCTGGAAATGCTAGTCTGTGTTTCTCAATCTTCTGTGTGGTTCTGCATAGACAGGGCAGAACAAGAGATGCTGTGAAGGTCTCCAGCTCAAGAATTCTACAAACACATGTGCTGGGCCAGTGCAGTGTGCGGCACCTGCCTGTGTGTCGATGGACAGCCGTCAGATGAATTCTACAGGTCTACTCAGGTTGGGTAACTAGAACATCAGACTATAGGACAAAGCATTTTGATCTAAAATCTGATGAGAAGAATTGGTCCTGGCCTGATCCATCTAGAGACCTAATCCTTAACATTTTTTGCCCTATTTTATGATAGGAGTTCTTGGGGAATGTTCTCAGGTATGTGATTCCATCACAGAAATATAAGCATGAAAAACCTGAGAGTGACTTCTGCTTAGAGCAGGGCTTCCAGAACAGCAGGGAGCAGATTCTGTAATAATTATGACACAGTCAAAATTTACTTTACACCCACACTTTTATGACACTTTTTCTAAAGAGAATGATATCCAGAGTGCTCTCATATTTGTTTAAAGTTCATTTTCCCACTGTTTCTGAGCAATACCTCATCGACTTGATTCTGTGTCTGCTGAAGTCTTCGATTACTGCCAGTGGCAGCAGAGCCTGCAGGTGCACCTGCTGACCTGAAACACGGAAAGGCAGAAGCGTGAGTAAACCAGGGCCCCAAATACACATTTGTAAATACAAAGGCATTATTCCAGGACTCTCGGTGTTAATAGTCTCTTACATCAGAACTAAAGAAAAAAGAAAAAAGAAAAAAAGAAATCCTTTTGGAAGTAATGAACAAGGTTTTAATGGCATTTTAAAATTCCTCTATAATTTCCAAGACTGTCTCACATGTTTAAGGGACCAATGTGAATGTGTAACAGGATCTACTTTGTATCAACGAAGTATCTGCTCCCAAGATAGATAAACTCTACTTTCCTTTTTTAAAAAAAACTTGTTTTAAGGAACTCATCTACTTAAATGCACTCTCCTGATCTTTTCATTGTGGAAAGAACTGCTTTCACATTTATAAACAATTATAGAATGCTTTTTTCCAATATGGAGAAATAGATTCATTTACAGAAACACTGGGATGGGGTGGGGTGTGAGAGGGGAAGGTGGTTTGAAGCAATGCTCCCTCTCCTAGAAAGGTACTCATCTTTTAAAGTTTTCATGAATGTGTCTTCTTCTTTTCATGCAGGTCTAGCTTAACCACTCTAAGTCCTTATCCTCTCCATTACTTGGCTGGCATCACTTTGGTTTTTCAGATATACAGGTATACATAAAGTCTTGTCTCCCCTAATAGATAACGGGTTTCTGGGTTTTCTTTTTTTCTTTTTCTTTTTTTCTGAGTTGGAGTCTCACTCTGTTGCCCAGACTGGAGTGCAGTGGCCACTTCCGGCCACCGCAGCCTCGACCTGCGGGGCTCCGGCGATCCTTCCGCCTCAGCCTTCCAAGTAGCCGTGAGAGACCCAAGAAACCAAGAAACTTAAAAAGTCATACTTACTGTAAAAGTAGTGTTTAGTTCACTATATTTTATATATCCCTACCTCATGTTCATTGTACTTTATGAAATCTTAGTACTTTAAATCCTACCTCAGACCCCGTAGAAGTGGGCATATGTCGGTGCCGAGTAGCGACTGATTGTGTAATTATATAATGTCTTAAGTAGTGTTTGTATTTAGAACTCTTGGGTTAAGCATTGTTAGTCCCAATTGCCATGCTGACTTCTGCTTTTACAACGGGATGTAAATGTAGAGCGATAAGCCCCTTTTCAGACATTCCTTTGCTGCAGACTTGGAGACACCAGTAATCTGCCTGCTGCTCAGGTTAATTTATACGCAGTGACTGTATGAACCTACTTATCTGACATTCCACTCTGCCCGTTGGGTGGGTTTCTGTCAATCACGGGCAGTCAGGTTGAAGCCCACGAAAGGCACCTACCAATACCAAGTGTTCCCGTACCCATTAGGAGAGATTACCCAATCATGTAAAACCAAGTTTAGAGTTCTTTCCCCTCCCTCTGTAATGGTGTATAAAGACTGCTTGCCATGCTGGATCGGGGCTCTCGTTCCTGAAGCCACAGCCGGCTTTGTTCGTGAGCCCAGACTGAGCCTGAATAAAGACCCTTGTGTGTTTGCATCAGAGCTGGCTCTTTGGTGGTCTCTCGGATTTTGAAATTTGGGTTTAACAGCCGGAATTACAGGCATGCGCTACCACGCCCGGCTGATTTTTTGACTTATTGTAGAGATGAGGTCTCGCTGCCCAGGCGGGTCTCGAACCCGCGGGCTCAGGCAATCTACTCACCTCAGCCTCCCCAAGGTGCAGGATTATAGGCTGAGCCACCGAGCCCGGCTGGTTTCTGGGTTTTCTTATACTTTTCTCTGTATCCAAGACAACACCTAGAACGTGCCTTGCTATACAACAGCCACTGATTCAACAGTTGCATCTACCATGTGTCAACCACCAGGGGTTCTGCAGATCCGATCGCTACTCTCTGCTATCCGTGCCCTGGCGCGAGGCCCTTTCCATGCATTTTCTCATGTAAGCCTCCTAACTCTGAGGAGGAGACTAACACCACCCCCGTTTTACAGAGGAGTAATGTGAGCTTTGGAAAGTCAACACAGATGGCTGTAGTGGAGCCTGTGCTTCGATCACATCCTGCGTAACCCCACGACCTAGGGCTCAGCTCAGCAGGAACGCCCTGGCGGTGCCTCCCGTTCCTAGAAGAGACTCGGGGTTTCCTCCGTAGGTGCGCAACGAGCAGGACGGAGAGGGAGGAGAGGGCCCTTGAGATTCTTATCACCACCGGAAGCGCTTGTTTTCAAGGTCCCCGACAGGAGCGCTTCCGCTTGAGAGAGGAAGGCCGCGGCTCGTCGCCCTCCCGAGGGCGGGTGCTCCCGGCCAGCCGACGCGCACACCGGCCCGCAGGGGCCTCGGGCAGGGCCGCGATCCCTTCGCTTGCAGCTTCGGGAGCCCGGGGCAGCTCTGGGCAGGGAGCGGGCGCCCCCGGCCGAGGGCTGTC